ATAGAAACCTAATTTGGAACAACTAGGATACGACTTCATAAGATCCTGTCCCATTGAGTAAAAATGGCAAATTAATTCACATTCAATCATATAAGATCAGACAAATGTGAAATCGTAGCATTATCGAAAACAAACTGGCTAAACCCCTGTATGCACTCATTATACGTGATCGCCATCCTTCTCAGTTCGTTAACTTGAAGGGAAATCATTCAATCAACAGCAACGTGGAACTTCGTACGTACGCACATCAGTTCAAGTTGCCATACCACATTAGCACGGAGATTTAATTGTCAATTCAAATCCCATAATAGTAGAGGTAGTAAAGGTATTAGCAGTAATCAGAGAGATTACGGTTTCAAGATATTATTCAAGAACTAGAATTTAGTGAAATAAACTCAAAAACATAAAGTGATGAGGAATTCAGAAGGTTAGAATTTGAGAGAACACAAAGAGTGGATTCCCCTGCGCCCTTGCAAACCGTTTTGAGCCATGTCAGTCAGGATCACTAACCATCGGTCACTAAGATCTCGCGGACCCAAACCAGGTAGTCAACACCTACTAACATGACTTATTCCGTTTGTCGGTGACTTCATGGATTTATGCCATGTTTTGGTCTGACCACCCTAGCTTTACTCCAACCCACACCTAAACTACAAAACATAGCTCGACGAAGCAGTCAGAGGTTAGGCATTCGTAACACATGTCCCGACCACCTCAACTGATGAAGTTTCATTACTTCATCTATTGATCTGCCATTCTTACCTAGCATCCGATTCCTAATGACAGCGTTGCTCACTCGGGTGTCCCAGGATACACAAGCAATGCTTCGGAGAAACCTACGATCGAGAACAAGCAACCTACGAATATCCTCTACTCTTATTGGCTATGTTTCACAGCCACAAAGTAGGACAGAGCGAATTTCTGAGCGGCACACTCATCTTTTAGTCAACAAACAGATATGTCGCCTACGCCATAAGTGACGCAAGTTGGCAAAAGCCAATCGAGCCTACTGTATCCGTGCTGAGATTTCGTCAGTCACCAGGCCATCAGCACTGATGAGACTCCCGAGATAAGTGAAGCGGTCGATACGCTCAACCGTTTCACTTTCTATCACTAATGCAGGTGCCGATACAAGCCAATCCTGAAGCAACATTTTGCAAATCGACAGGGAGAATCGCATCCCGAACACGCTTGCATTGTTGTTTAGCGTAGTCAGAAGACTTTATTTTGTCAGCCTCCTCACCAAGTAGAACTATGTCATCGGCATATTCTAAATCAACCAATGAATCCCCTGGTAGAAGGTCTACTCCTGAAAATTCAGACTAAGATAATGTTATATGTAGCAGTATGTCTACGACAAAGTTAAACAAGAATGGAGAAGGTGGACAGCCCTGACGCACACTACGTGAAGTAATCAATTTCGATTACAGTTCGAGTAGAGAGCTTGTATAAGGCTAATGTACTTCTCTGGTACACCCTTTAATGACAAGCACTGCCAAAGAACCTCATGATCCACAGTCGAATGCCGCCTTAAGGTTCAAGAAGACAACTATTGTCACACGCCTGTGTGTCTGTGTTCCAGGACATGTCGTAGTGTGAAAATGTGGTCTATACAACCCTGTCCAGGTCTGAAACCAGCCTGGTTTACTCTAGTCTGCCCTTTACAAGCTCCAGTTAGGCGTCTAAGTATAATCGAAGCTAACAATTTAGAAACTATTTTAGTTAGACTGATTCCTCTGTGATTGTCACAAGAGGACTTTTGTCATTTCTTATAAATTAAGACAATCAGGGGTTCAGACCAGTTAGATGGGAATACGTCCAGTTCCCAAATTCTACCTAAGATCTCAGTCAATTTTATCTCCAAAACTGGACCACCATCCTTAAGAATCTCAGGGGTCAGTCTATCAGGACCCGTTGCTCTCCCCTGAGTCAGATACCCTTGGCTTCGAATATATGTCAACGCACCGTAAGAGTTATTTACTCACGCCTATTAACTCCTGTAAGGCATATGCTACCGACCAAGAATCTCCAACCAACCCTCCCTATGGCTATCCTTGCTAGTTTTTCCCAAGTTCTATTGATTCTTTTGATTTCTGTCTCCAGTTCCTGGTACAATGTGTTGTTGAGTCTACCTCTTTTCCTTCCGCCCTGAGCATTCTAGGTTATGGCTTGTCTTGTGATGCAGTTTGCTGATTAACTTAAAATGTGACCTATGCATTTTCAGCTTCATATCTTAATTTTCCCTCAACTGGGAGAGGATATGTCGTCTACGAAATCAGGTTATTGCTGATGTCGTCTGATCAACGGATCTATAATATCTTGCATAGAAAACTGTTTATAAATACCTGCATCTTTTTGATGATCGTAGTAGTCCCCTAAGTGTTGGCTTTGTACAATGGAACTGTCCTAAAATTTGTATTGAAAATTCTAACTTTGTCGTTGGTTGGCAGTTCTTTCGGGTTTCGGATATTCTTCATTTGTAAAAACAATTCCCCTACTTTGCCAATCCGTATCTTTGCATCTGCATCAGATCCACCTTGTTTATCAATGACACTGCCCAGATACGCCCATATCTCCGTCAAGCTTGATTTGGCTGGTACTGTGTGAGTTGTATTTTAAGAACTTGCTTTTTTATTAAATGCTGGGACCTACGGCTAGATATCGTAAGAGTGGTCACGCAATATTATTTTTCACCTTTTAAACGGCTATCGTTGTGATGTCTAATTTAGCCATTTAAAAAACAGAAGTACCGGGGATAGTACTTGTATTACCACCAATAAGTTTGTCTGTCAAAGCAGGAGTCTTTACAGAAATCACTTATAGTGTGTAGAAATGTATGCCGAAGTTACTCAACAGTTTTTTTACCTTGAACAACATGACGTAGGGCAAGAACAAACTCAAGTATTGAACAAAGCAATTCCGAATCAATAAAAAGAATGTAAGAAGGATATATGTCACTAGATACTATAATCAAACTAGATTTAAGTACCAAGAAGTTATAAACATTCGTATCTTGGCTTTAAAAAAGTCTAGGAAACTTTATATGGAAAAGATTATTGTTAACTACATGGAATGCAAGAAGTAGCCGTTTTAATACGAAGGCCGGATGACTAATTGGGGTGTGATATACAATGGACAGATGGTTTGACGCAAGAAATTCTGAGCACCAAATTTATGCAGATTGTCACTATGCCGTTTGACGGATTCCCATACAAAACACAAAATCGAAATCATTAAACAGTTAGCAATGGTTTCCAGTCACTAAAGGCAATAACAAATATATCGTTGTTAATAGAATGTCAGCTAACGGAACTGAAGTGAATACTGAATTTTTCATTAGTTATAAATATGGCAGTTATCCTCATGATAAACGTTCATGATATATCAACATTTTACATGAATATTTAGTATCTTCCTAAACTAAAATGATATTATTCGCAGGTTGATTGCTAAGACGAATCGAAACATTTACTTACAAGTTAACGAATACAGAGATAGTGATTAGAGTGCTTGATAAAATATTTTGGCATTAATTAGTGTCACAGATTTCATCGTATACAGATAATCCTATGACTAAATAAAAAAGATTCCTAATACATAAGATAATTATGCATTTATGATAGGTTCAAAAAAAAATAAATATTTACAATCAAAAGCGTAAGATATTTAGATTTAAGAAAAATACTGCTTACAGTTAGGTAAAAAATGTTCTTAAGTAATAACGAAGCATTCAAAATTGATCATGATAAGTCTACAACCAGTTTTATTTAAATAATGCAAACCAACGGTGAACAGTGCATATAATCTCATTTGCTAACATCACTGCAATACGATGGGGCTTACTAGAAAATTGAAATAATTACGGGTGATTTAATAAATTCGGAACTTTAGATTGTGGAAACGGGTCCTTGTGGTAGCAAAACAGATCATTTTAAAGATTTTGGATTGATTGCTACGCCATAAATACCCAACACTCTAAAGTTAGTGAGATGTTAATGTATCCAAAGCTTTTATTTTGTTTTAGTCGAAAAACTGATGAAAAACTATGTGTAATACGTAAGACGTGTTTGATCACAATAAACCGACCATAGTTTCACATAAATGTTCTAAACAGTTAAAGAATATTATTCCTCACACAAAAGATGGTCTTTATTTGTGAAGTATCAAGTAGATATGACTTAAATGACGTAAGTGTAGAATATGTGGAATACAGGTGGTGGCGGTTTGATAAATAGAAGCATTAGTACACTTTAAATATAAAAGTAAAAAAGATCCCAATTAAATACCAGCAATGATCACCAAGTTGACATAAAAAAAAGAAAAAGTGGGTTAAATTTTTGATCACTACTCAATAAAACGAAACATTTTACAATACGTTGGGATCCAGACGCACTTAAAATTTTCAAAATAGTATCAACACAAAGAAGCTATTGAATAGCGAAGCTATATGAATAAAAAAAATTAGCTCACTAGTTGAAACAGCTTCAAAATAATAAAAACGATTCGTTTCTTTGAGAAAGTTTTATTAAAGTCAAGTTTACCACCTTAACCATAAGCCTTATTTTAAAATGACAGTTTAAGCGAGAGTGCTTCCAGGAATCGAGGTATAATTATCAACTAGAGTCAGCTGTATTAAAAATGGAGTTGATACTTGACGAGTTTCTACTGATATTCTTAGACTAAAAGTAAATGTCATTTTAGCATGGACTATGACACATTCTAAACTACCAAATTCAATGTAAAGCTGCGGTTTAGGAAAATTATACAACATATTAACATGACAGGTTGATACATGACGCTTGATACTTTTGTACTGATCACAATCGCCATTTTTATTCGTCTTTAAGAAATGATTCGATCAATAAAGTGATATTTATCGTGGAAGTCATAACAACTTGACTGATTGGTGATTTGAGCATGACTCGGTACCGTAATGTTAAGAAAATATGAGAAGATTTCATATGAAAGCATATAATACATAAAGAGTAACAAATTCGTACCTTAAATCCAGGACTCGGAGATGATCACCTTTACGCGCACTAACTTCCTCTGATGTATGAGCTTCATAATCGAAAATGGCAACGTGATAATATCCACTTTTGTGGGAATTTTCCAGTGTAAGAGGGTAGAGCTTCTTTGAATTAGTACCTGCACCACCCGAACCCAAACTAAGACGACTGGATGAACCAGCACTTGAAGGAAAACAAGGCTGGTGAACAAGATAACGAGTTGAAAGACCACCAACAGATGAATTATGATCCGAATCAACATTTTCCATAAAAATTGTTGCAGTGGTGCTAACTGTCCTGCCATTTTGCTCAAGATTCTTAAGACGATTAGAACCTACAACGACAGATGATCTATAAGGTTTGTCTGATTTATGAGTTCCTGAGTCGACCGTTAATGGAGATTCCATAGCACTTCGGGTGACACTTGCACAGCCGCTTAGGGAATATCTGTTGCCTATTAATAAAGGCATAATATTCAATGAGGAATGTTGTTGTAAATGTGAATACGACTGGATATGATTGTCTGCTCGATGAATCGGATTCGATTTCTGTACAATTACCTCGTCTGATGGCTCACTTGAAGAAACACACCAGTGAACAGGGCTCATAGAATGCTTATTATCTAAATAGTCACAATTCGTACTCTTTCGTACTCCAGAATGATTTACGTTCACATCATTTGTTAGCTGAGCTAAACTTAACGTTGGAAAATGACTGATGCTAGGAATTAAGGTTTCCTTAAAGCCTTCAGTACAATGACTTCCGGTGAAAATATTGAATAGAGAAGTTTTTGGAGTTGATAGATTGGATTTGCTCCCAGAACATATATCCCTCCCAGTTTCGAATCTATCACGAGTTAGTAGAGATGAAAATTTTTCATGTTCATTGGATGTAACAATTTCACTAATCAGTCCATCTTCATGAATTATTTCTAATGAATTAGATTTATAACTATCACACAAGTTTGCAGGTTGTGAACTTGTTTTGGAGACTTCATGTGGATTGTGAGGCGTTTGGTCATCGCTTTCCTGTTCCGTGGCAGGAGTAGAGGCATGCTTTTTTGCACAATTACCCATCAAACGATACGAATAAGTCACATCGAGCTGAGAATCCGAATATCTTCCAACTTTTAACCTTCAGAATACTACTAATTCGAACTATTTGAACGAAACACCTTCATCATTCAATCGGTATATTATTATGGACTCCTGTCCTGAGTCTTTTAGGGATCCAAGGAAATGGCTTTTGCCATTTTGGCTAGTAAATAATTTCAGAATTTGAACACTCGCAAACGGTAGCTGTACGTGCAGTGCATTTAACTTTATTGGTCTCTAGTTTCTGATTATTTCCACCTAAGGTTGTGTAGAGACCGAGCTCATTTGAGCATTTTAACAGGTGCTCAGGAATGTTTGGAATGTAATAGGTCATTAGAAGGTCATTTTTTAGACAAATTTTCTCTAACGGATCTAGCGACTTGAGTTCTTTTAAACGTTTGAACTTCAGTCCTCGAACTGGAGTGCGAGGAGAAACACTATATCTCCATACTGTAAATTGGGCCGAAAGAATAGGTATAACGATCTACGATCAAAGTGACCGAAAATGTGCTTTGACGTTAGCAGTACAAGGTTTGCTTGAAATGCACTTTTATTACAGTTAGGTTACTAAGGCTCCTAAATCTTCTTCAGCTCCCATAGCAGAGTTAGCAACGTTGTATATATATTTCACAGCATGTCTCGGGTGAATTGTTAGGCACTTTGAAGTGTTTAAAGTAAGTCCGTGATCATTCACACACCTTTAAAGTCATTTCTTGTTCTCCATAATAGCCAGCTTATCATCTGGGCTGCAAACTTCTCTCCAAAGTGATAATTCAGAAGATATTCGTCTGGAGAGATCATCAATATAAATTAGGAATGGAAGTTGTCTTAACTCTGATGGGCTCCACAGGGACATTCTGTAGCCTCGGAAAAATGAAAACTAACTCTGACCTTAAAGATCTCATTACTAACCTGTGAAGTTAAACAGTCCATTAAGGGTGGTTTGGTACCGAGCAAATAGAACTTACCGATGAAAAATATATGATCGATTCTATCAGAAGCTTTTGGTGAGTCAAGAGTTGCTGTCTAACGATCTATATAGTACAGGCAGTAGGTTGAATAAGTAAGTTTGGCCTTCCTAAGACCATATTTCTTGGGAGAAAATAAGTTTATGGATTGTCACATAAACCAAAGACTTCAAAACTTTTCATGATAATGAAAGCAGTTCCACTAGCTGGTAGCTAGAAGGTTCACTGGAATATACTTCTTTGAAAACTGATGCGAGATGATCCAGTTTCTGATTGTTTGGGACCATACCTTCACTCAGCAAGTGTCAGAACATCACACTTAGCACTACTGCCAGTGCTGAAGCAGCTTTTTTGATTACTGCAGCCATGTCCAGAGAGGGAGAATAATCTGTTCGGATTGTTGATTAGCTGGATGTTATGCTGAAACCTTTGTTCATTCAGTGTCTATATACATCGGTTCCTTGTTACTTTGAACTATCTAAATGGATATCTTCATTGGTCAGTTTATATTTCCTCCAGTAATACCTCATAAGTCTTAGCATTCCGAGATTGATATTTCTCATGACCGAGGGATGTACGTAACTTTTGAAGACCGCATCTGGGACAGATTGGTTTTTTCAGTAAATATTCCCAGTGGTCATCAGCATCCTTTAAAGCTGATACATCCAGATTCCCTTTGAAGCCCCAACACTTGTTGTTAGTAGAACGTTTGAGTTCACTATTGCAAACAAAATAAAAGCCTATGATACCGTGGTTGGTTTTACCCAGGGGAGTCAGGACTGAGAACTTATCAACCAGGAATTCGTCATTCGTCCTGGTGCAATCCAGGCGTTACATCACCTGATTGTTTTACCAATGAATTCCTATTCCACATTGTCAGATGATCACAATTCTTAAATAAAGTTGAAGAATCGAGCTTCAGTGAATTCATTATATGTGTGGTCAGCAAAGTTGACTTTAATAAGATTGAAATCTCCCAAAAGTGTTTTTGGAGTCCGTGTTTTCTTGTACACCTTGCACAATAATATATCTTCCGCGAAATAATGTCTTGCAAGACTGTTTCGGAATTTCGTAAATAAGACTTCTCTACGAATGTGGTATAATCGGCAGTATCCTCACAGGTGCTTTAAATTTTCACGACTGGATAGCCACCAGGACACTCTTCACTCTGTATACAACAAGAAGCCATGATCTGATTATGTAGGGATGCTTTTCGGAGATTCTCCAAATAGCATTCGACAGGCTTCTCTATGAAGCGAACAATAATAATAATATTTATTCTCAAATAACAGCACGTTACAAGAGGTGTGCCAGTTTACAGGCTGGATACATGCTGTGATCTAGACGTGCATGTACATAGGGTGCATGTTCCCTAGAGGCGCCATGGATTTTCCCCTGTTGATAACGTTCTGAAAAGGGAGAAAACAGAGAGAAAAAAGACAGCAACGAGGCAAGTGTATAGTTATAACCAAAGCACTACTTAAGCTGTCACGTTGAAGGAGACAATACAGAGGTAAGTCTAGATAAAATTCATACTGACCACTAAAATCAAAGTAAATTACAGTAATATAACCCACAAATAGTGTGCAGCAATGAAGAATGAGTAAGCGTGTTGCAGGTGTCTTGGCAGTAAAGCGACCTCTGCGTAGTTTTAGAAACATGAGCCTCAGAATCATCAAGCGTATGAGAGCAACCTCAGTGTTACTGACTGGTTGCCTCACCAATCAAAAGAGCCGATAGCAAACAAAATGTTCTGCCCCACAAACATGGGTGGATTGAAGTCATCGCACACAACACTAATGTTTGCTGGTCAGTAACTCCCTCCTCCCCCATTTCTTGTTGTTAGGCTCATGTTAAATGATTGAAAGAAATCTTTGGCAATATCAGGGATAATATTTAAGACGTGGGATGAGGCGCTAAAAGATAGAAATGAAAGGAAAGCGGACCAGACAAAGTTGCGATTACTCAGACATTTCTACGTAAATTAAATAAAATTCAAATGTTAGGAGTAGGAGCATAAAAGTGTGACGTACTGTTGTTAATGGGAGTAGGGGAATGTGTCTGTCACTTCGTGATATCTGTGCGAAAGATAACATGGTTGCGGTATATTCATAGTCTGATGAGAATTTCTAGGGTTAGTTTAAATATTAGATGGACCATAAAACAGTGCCTTAGTAATTGGTGTGATTCCTGGAAATCGTTGATAAGTCTCTTTAGGGTCTAACAACAGTGCTACTAGTTTCTTGAACCTTGTGATCGTGTCACAGATACGGATAGAAATGGGAACTCTTTTCCGCAACAAACTGTGTCGTTTTACAAATTAATTACAACGCAATGACTTTGTTCATTTTACTGTTGCATTGTAATTGATTTTGTAAGCAGGTTCGAGGTCCATGATTGAGCGGGATGTTACAAACCACAGGCTAAATATTATATCGCAGAAGAGTATTAGGTTGTTTTTTAACCGAAGGCATTATAAAGGTTTTGGGAAAAGACGTTCGTACGTAGTCGTGTAGTCGAGAGCTTGGTCACCACCTATTAGTCAGTATTAGTTTCTTTAACCTTTTAGTTTTTTTCAAAGATATGGATAGAATTATGATGTGCATCGAGATGAGTAAAGTCTGAGTAATGGTAGATAAGTTGAAGTTAAAAAAGAGCGAAGCCCATGGAAAACAATATGTATATTATTGATTGTGTATCTTCTCTTTTCATTAAATGTCTACCCCTATGTCGTACTGTAAATACGTAAGTAGGCATGTTGCATATTATTTCCGTTATGCAGCGACACTGTCATAATAAGGCGAGTACTAGTGTAAGGAGTAGCCAGCGCATAAGAGGAACCTCAGTTTCATTGACTAGCGATCAATTAAATCGAGTCGGACATAAACAAAATATCCTGCTCCATAAACATGAGTGGATTGAAGTGATCGCTCTCACCAACAATGTTAGCTGGTCAGTAACTTCACCCTTCCCGCTTTCGTGCTGTTAGACTCATTTAGAATCACAAAAATTTTGTTCTACTCGAGACTCTATATCTGACTACCTATTGAGAAGCATAATTTCCTTAAATTCCATTCTATAGGCTTGTTAAGCTGCTACAACTTATGGCCTATGGATTAGTTGTCGGTGCAATACAGCTAACTATTTTGGAGAAAATTAAGGGTCTCCAGTGATACTATAAGCTTTTCGGACGTAGTAATGGAAAGATGTATAATGAATTTAGTGAGAAAGTTCAGTAGTATTATAGCCATTAATGGGGTGGTAGACAGAGAAATAGAATAAATGGTAAGCCAATGGACACGCTGCAAAAAGCAACCAACTGCGTTACAAGACAAGCAAGCTCTCACATGGAACTCTCAAGGTAAAAGGAAAAGAGAGAGGCCAAGGAACACATTACACCGAGAGAAAGACATGAGATAAATGGACAAAAACTGGAAAGAACTAGAAAGGGAAACCCAGGACGGAGTTGGTTGGAGAAAACTGGTGGGTGGCCCACACTCCGCTCGGGGTTACAGGCGTAAGTAAGTAAGTAAGCAATGTAGTGCATTTGAGAACAGTAAAACTGATGATTGGCCAAAAGCAACTCACAAAATTATGGGTGTTGAGAGAGTTTTGTTCAATAATAACCGGATGATGGTTTTTCAGGCTGTGGATGAATGGTCACTAGAGGTATGCAACTAGAAGAATTTAATATCACTTCAGAAAAAGGAAAAAGTAATAAAATGCAGTTTTGAATTCGACTCAGTTTAAGGTTTAGAAGGATAAAAGTGTGGAAGCAGGGAGCGAGTGAACTAACAAGTGCCGAGGAATCAGTGGAACTGAAGGCTTTTTTTAAGAAGCATTACAAACGCATGTTGTCCATCTGCTATGCATATGTTTGAGGAAATTACGCTCCATATCAGTAAATGCTTAGTGAAGAAGAAGTTTTCTTGAGTATCTCATTTATGCTTTTCATGTCTGACCCTAGATACTTCATCTCGAAGGTTGTGTATACATAGGCCTTGGATGATCACTGCACTACTAGATCATGTGAGCATGTGCAAGAGCCTAAATCAAAGGAATAGATTGGACTTAAGCCCTATTATC